GGATAATTAGTTGATCCCGTGCTAAATTCTCTGAACTAACATTATAAGAATTGTATGGTTGATATTAAGGAGAATTACAAATTTGACCTTGGAGTCAAAGGGTTAACCCTTTCCACCCTAACTTCAGTATGAACTTTCTCAATACTATTCCCTATACATTTCCTTAGCTGCTGGCAAGGAGAATTTGTTTAACAATGGAGAGCATCTTTAGTTGGTAATCATTTCCTTTACTCTTGTGACCTTAATGTGTAATTCAGGGGTGATATTATTAGGAGAAATTAGATACTGGTCACTCTTTGGGGTCAAAGTATAATCCACAGAAATAGAACTAAAATGACAAAACTAGATGTGGCTTTATTTTGGCTGTCTTCAAGATGTACAGTTGTCATGTTATGCAAATCCCTTGTTAAAAAATTAATCAATAGGAAAAAAAAAAGGAAAAGCAAGAAATCACGAATGTTCTCAAGAACCCTTTCATTACATAGGATTTATTCCATCTTGCCTTCTCACTGTTCTGGCCATGCAGTAAGGCATTACTTGCATTGATAGAAATAAGCCAATGACACACAAGCTTAAGTAATACTTACAGGGCAAAACATCACTGTAACGGTTCTTTCTTGCATTCTTCTCCAGCTTTCCAACTTCCCTGCTGTTAGGCTCAGCTTCATATGTTTTCAACGCCTGCAACAGAGTGATAAATTGGAGTCCTGAATTTTATTTTCATGGTCAATTAAAAATTGTACTGTAGTACCTCAAAAACAGGGAAATGATGAAAACACATCAATTCCATTACCTCCCATTCTTTATTCAGCCTGTCTTTGTTTTTAAGATGGTCTTCCATGTAGGACTAAAACACAAGAAATTCATTAGCTACTTGAGACTTCATGTAACAAGAACAATTTCAGAATAGTCATTCTGCTGAAAAAATACAGAGGAAAAAAGCAGTCAAGTGTGTGGAAGTGTACTCTGGCTTCTTCACCATAGAACAAAGCTTGCAATTAGGAGGAGAACCATGGGATTGGGAGTTTAGAAGCTTTCCACACCTCTTTCAGTTTTGGCTTGTTCTTTTTCCAAGTTTGCAAAACTGGTTAACAGATTTCTTTTCTACCAGAGAATTTGTATATAGAAGAAGTGAATAAACAAAATGCTTACCAAAACAACATGTCCAGTAGAAATGTCCATGTTGGGTACAACAGGCTCTTCACTCCTAGAATAAATTAAACAACTCTGTTACACAGAATGCTCTAAGTTAATAAAAAGTCTGTATTACAGAAGACGCTTGGTCCTTTTTTGAGGCACCTCTATTCCAGGGATGCCTCAAGTCAAGTGATGCATGGTTACACCTACATCAGAGCTGATAAAATACTCTTTGCATACACAATGTGTGTTACTATCTTTTTTTTTAAAGGAAGTGACACTTTCTTAATGGAGGTTGCCTTTTTTTCCCTAAGTATTGGGTTTTGATTAATCCCTGTGTTCATTACAAACCCTAAGCATGCAAAATCACAAATTTTTCAAATAACTGATACCTGTTTCTACTTTTTTTTCACAATAGTGGATACTTTATCGATACATCCATTTTAATTGAGCACTACTTTGTTGAGACAGGAACACTTTGATCCAGGTTTATATAAAAATCTCAAGCCTCTCTTCCTGATCAGTCAGCTCCATCCTATCTTCAGTAATATTTACAACTTACAGTAATCAACACATAAACTTGTGTCTCATTTTTGTCTTACCAGGAGTATTTAGGTGCTCTTCCACTTCCCAGTCCTTTCTCCTTTTCTCCATGCTGTAAATGTGTGGTCTTTGCTGGTGTACTGTCCCACCCTTGTGTTGCTCGCAGTTGACGACACAGTTCCTGACAAAAAGGATGACTTAATACTAAACATTTAAAAGTGGATAATGCTGCTCCTTTGTAAACTGTTGTTGGTATCAAGGTAATGAGATAATGTTCTATGTCTTCCTGGGAAACATCTTTTAATAAGTAATGGTAACAGGACTAAGTGGAGTCCAATTTGGTCTGTAATACAAGTGATAACAAAATTGGACAACCATGCAGTGGGAGTCTGATTCCTTTTTCCATGAGTATGGTTACAGACTGACTTGGACAACGGAAAGTCCAATTAATCCTAAAAAATTAAAATGTCCTCAAAAAGAAGAATAGCCAAGTTATGAAAGGATGGGAAAATTTACAAGGTTGACAAAGGAGGTTTAAATTGTTTAATGTTGCCCTGAAATTGACCACAATCAAAATGTAATTGATTTTTAATTTGAATGTGATTGGTTGATTTAGACTCAACTTTAAATGTGATTGGCTTAATGAACTGTTCAATAACAAACTGTCTAATAACAAACTGTTTGATAACAACTCGGCATTGGATCAGTGGAAAATGAGAACTTTTTACACCAATTACAATTGAAGATTTTGTAATTTTTAAGATTACTATAATAATAACAATAATAATAGTAAAGTTCACAGCAGCGAGCAACATGCTGATTGTCAGTTACAGATTGCAACCTGTTAGTTTAACCAAGTGTTAAAACCACTTTCAGTCAAGCTTTCCCAATGAGATATAACTTGGTGTCATTATCAGTAAATAGCCTTACCTGGTAATCAGCAGCTGCTTCTTGGCCAGGAAGAGTGACTGGTTTGAAGTTTGCTTCATTATGCCTTGAAAAAAAAAAAAAAAGAAAAAAAGACACAAAACACAACTTGTTAAATTTAGACCTGACAACGGCCAATCATTGAATAGAGATCAACATTAATAAAGCTATCAGTGAGTATCAATAAATATCCCACAGTATGTAAAGCTAGGTACAAATCCCTTAAAAATACTTAAGATTGTGCTCTGCCTTTTAGCAACTCACATACAAGTAACCTTGCTTTTATGAAAGCTTTAACCCTTTAACTCCCAAGATCTGATTGTAAATTCTCCTCTATAGCTGCTACACATTTCCTTGTAAATTAGTTATGAGAACTTGGTGCTAGATTAAGATAGCAGCTTCTACTTGATAAGTTTGAATATTCTCATTACCTGTTTACTGAAGAATGTATGGATTCTGAAGGGAGAAGTTTTATGTTAATCACTTCTGAGAGTTAAAGGGCTAACCCTTTCATTCCCAGGATCTCATATCATTTCTCCTTATCTCATTGGTGCTTCTCCTTTTCCCTGTCTACTATATAATTCTTATTATGTTAGTTCAGAGAATTTGGTATTGGATCAACTAATAATTCCCTTATTAATACTTTCCTTTATTCCATAGTCTTCCCAGCTTGATATTGTATTGATGTTGTAAGGGGAAGTTATGTTCTAGTTAAGGAGCACTCACCACAAATACCAAAGGCCAATGCCTAAAGGTCACTGATGAAAATTCTGAGAACACAGCTTTGAATAAGCCACTTTCAAGTTGGATGATTGAATTAAATACAGTATTTTATGTAAGAGTATATATTAACCCTTTAACTCCCGTGAGTGACAAAGAAAGAATTTCTCCTTACAATATCAATACAATGTTAACCAGATAAGTGATGAGAATAAAGATAACTATCAATTTGGGGATGATTGGTTGATCCAATACTAAATTCTCTGAACTAACATCATGAGAATTGTATGGTTGATAGTAAGGAGAAGTACAAATTTGATCTGGTAGTTAAAGGGTTAACCAGTATCACAACTAAATCACACATTAAGGTCACAAGAATAAAGGAAATGATTGCCATCTAAAGAACCTCTTGATTGTTAAACAAATTCTCCTCGTCAGTTCAATAGGAAATATGAAAAAACAGTTTGGAGAAAATGCATACTGGCATCAGGGTGAAAAGGGTTAAAGAGAGACAATTACCTTCTCATTATGAGATAAATTGCAACTGCTGTCAGAATCACTCCAGTCACACAGCCCACAACAATGATCGTTATAAGGAAATACTTTGGTTGCTGAGTTTCCACAGACCTCTGAGGTTGTCCCTTCACATCCTTGTTCTTTGATGAGGGAGAAAGTTACATTTGTTAGTGAATTGTTCAAGCCTCAGGCAGTTGAACCAAAGTTTATATGACCAAAAAATGCGTTTCTGAGCAAGTCAATTTCCCATGAAAATTAAAAAGATCATATATGAACAATAAAGGCTACAGTTAAAGTTTTTGAGAGTTCTAATTTTGTGCTTTAAGCATTGTAAGTGTTGTTTCTCTAGAAGAGCACACATTGCAATTTCATTTAATTCACCCAATTATCAATACTTCAGATTTGTAGTATAAACAGCATAGGTACTGTATTCTTCAAGTTAAGAAATTAATTCACTGGAATGTGGCTTTGTATTGTTATCTTGTTTTGATTGTAAATGCTAGAAGTAACAGATTCTAAATTTTTACCAATCCCTTTTCAAATAGAATGAACTCACAAAGTAAAAAAGTTACTAAAATTCAAGGTTTTAGTCACAAATGGTAAATCTCACAACTTCTCCCTTAAATTTAGAATGGAGACTAAGAAGCATGTTTCTCCTTCATTAAAGTAATTTAATGCTAAACACAGTCTGGAACAAGTTTACAGTTTCATCTGTAGTGAGTTGCTCCCACAACTATTTGCCTGGTTTACTTGTAAAAAAAAGATACTTTCAAAATTGATAAACCTTTTACTTTTAAGAAGAAAACTATTAACATTAATTTCAGGAAAGAAAAATCCTATCAAACAACCTCTTTTAGGAAGAAATCTCACTTGAAACAAAATTAGCATAACACCTCTAAATATAAATTTAAATAAACCCAATAGTCTGATTTACAAGTCTGTCAAAATTGTCCTCTAGACATGCCAAACAATTTAGTGAGCAAAATTGAACCAGAGAAGTATCATTCTTAATCAAACATACAAGATCAATGAGTGAAAACTATCATTTCAAAGATGGAAAGATGCTTGAGATGAAGCTTGACAACAACCATTGTGTACAACTTAAGAAAATTATCAGTTTCATCAAGCATGGCTGAACAAACATTCTGAAATTTTGTGAAACATCACTGAAACAATACTCAGGCTATCAGAATATTACATTCCACTTTTTTCAAAAGAGAACTTGAATCAAAACTAAGGGCAAATTTCACACAAAATACTTACTTCTGTTTCATACCACAGGTGTATCAATCTATCTGCAGCTCAAAGAAGCTTTCACTCAATGAAACTTCTTTTACCATGTATTATTCACAGTTTTCAGTAACAAAGAAGCCTTCTGCTGAATTTATGACTAATTCATGAGAAATGAATGAATAACATACTTGAATAATTTAATGTTTCTTTTTCCATATAAGACAATGTCTACTGCATATTTAATTTTTATCTAATTCATGCTGAACTATCTTGACATAAATTAAAGGTTTGGATTGAGCAAAAAAGGATTTAATCTTTAAATCTCCCACACTAAAATTTTGAAGCTGTGATAGTAACTGTGATAAAACTTTCAAAATATTTGCTGGCTTACTGAAGACTTATTTCATTTCAAAATTGTTATCTCAAAAAATAAAGAGACTTCTAAAATAGGTCAAAAAATATTTTATGTATAACATGACACTTTTTTCAAAGTGTAATTACCTTGTGTTGTAATAATGAAAGATTCAAAGACTCCTTTGCTGAATCTTTAATTTACATGCTAATCTTATTTTAGCCAAAAACAGTTGATCAGTACAGCATTTACTTGCTTCACTCACTGTTCACACACAACCCATCCTAGCAATTATATAAAAAAAATGAAAAATACACCGCAAAACTTGGCTGGTACACATATATCAAGTAAATCCAAACAACTCAAAATTTGCTGAATCTGTTTTGATGAATTAGGAGAGGTTATGTAATAGCAGGCTAATTCCTAGTCTGTCAGGAAACTTAAGTAATGGCAAATTGCTTGAAAATAAACAAAAAATCACAATTGCATTTCTATACTTGAGAGGAACTAAAACAAGGGCCTTGAAGACAAAATTGAAGAAGATCAAATATATATCCAGATAGCAATTCTCAGAAATTGTTTATCTTTGTTGTCTTTGTTATTAAAATTTTACAGTTTTACTTTAAAACCAATTCTTATAAATCAAAATAGGATTAACGATTCTTCCTTCTACAAGTAGCTCTTGTATGTTATATCCTTCTAATGCAGTAAAGTGAATTTAGCATTGCTGATAGGCCCTTATATTCTCTTTACCTGATTTCTGAATAATGTATTAAAATTGTGTGGAGAGGTTACATGTTAATAAATAATTAAAGGCTTACCAGGTTTTAAAAAATTATGTAAAGTAATGAAAATACTATCAAATTTAACAGCAAGAAACATGAGTAATATCAACAACTTTCTGATTGGAGAATTCAATGAAAAAAAAAAAACCTACTTACCGAGGCATCTTCAAAATCAGCTGAAACAATCTCTAACCCACTGTTCTGGGCAACATCACTCTTAACACTGGGCTCTAAACAAAATAAAACAACAAAAAAGTGTTAACACATGAAAACTAGTAAGTTTAATTTTTCGTAGGTCAGGTGATCCTTCTCATTTTTCTTCTGAAATTTGTTAACCCTCAAGATCTCTTTAGTAATTCTCCTTATTGTCCACTATAAAATCCTTATCATGTTCCTTTGGAGAATTTAGCATTGGACCAACAAATAATCCTAAAATTGATACTTTTCTCAATTCCCATCGCCTGTCTGCTTGATATTGTATTGCTGTTGCAAAGAGAAATTCTTTCTTGATCACTCATTGGAGCTAAAGGTTTAAAAGCTTGAGCTCTAAAGTGAAAAGCATTAGACTAACACCTCAAATCAAATCAGCGTAACTGATGGCAAGGTTTAAGAACAAAAGGGGTAAGTTTCTAAAGAAACTGTGGTGATGTGTTGGTGGAAAGTATAACAAGGTAATTTAGTTTTATTGACTGAGTGGAAAATTTAACTTGGCCACTGTAAAGAGACTAAAAGCTGACTTTTTCAAGCGTTAGCCCTTTGTCTGAGCGACTGATGATAAGATTTACTAATCATAACCTAGGAGTCCTGTAAGCTCCATTTCAGTAAAAAAAAAATCACCAACTTTGTATTCTTCCAAACCTTTAAAATTCTTTGACTTCACATTAACTTTTGATGTTCTACACAACCAAAAATCCAGAAGAGGGTTTCACAATACGATAACTTCATCAAGGTATTTCTCACTTTTTATTCTGAGGAATAAATGAGTGACTTTCCCAGGACCCACTCCCCATTTCTATAAATTTCCAAATCTGAAAATAATGTTATTAATTTGCACAACCTTATAAATACTGGATTACAAGACCTGACATTTATAGCCCTGTACATTTTTACCTTTTTTAATCCTTTCTGCAACATCCTCGGGTTTTTCAAGTGTGTACTTTGTCTGTGCCATCCTTACATGGACATTGGAATCTTCAACTCTGTGGATGACAAACAAGATGCAGGTTTAATGTGGAGAAATGTTTCCTCTACTTTACAAAAAAATAATAACCAGCTGTTTATCAGATATTATGCTGCTATATCTAATTTAGCTCATTTCTGCTCAAGTCAATATTACAAATTTGACTTAACCTGAATATTTCAACAGTGAGGTTAACCCTTTAACTTCCAAAATCTCAATAGTAATTCTCCTAACTGTCTGCCGTATAGTTATTGTGATGCTAGTTTTGAGAATTTGGTATTGGATCAACTAATAATTCCCTAATTGATATTTTTCTTTATTCTCATCACTTGTCTGCTTGATATTGTATTGATGTTGTAAGGAGAAATTCTGTCTTGGTCACTCATGGGAGTTAAAGGGTTAATAAAATATTGGTGAGAATTGATAAGCAGTCACTTGGAGATATTTCCATCCTCAAAAATCTTCACTAATAGCAAGTTAAAAAAACATAATACAAATTAAAGGAAGATTTAAGAGTTGGCATCAGAGCAAACAAAATAAATTAAAATAATTCAACTTGCCTGAGAAAAAACAAGACAAATTTGTTTGGATTAAATGGTTAGAGAGAACTTTAATTACTCAGATTAAAATAAACAGATTTAACTTTTTTAGTGTTTATCTTTTAATGAAAACCTTTTTGGGTCAACAAAGTAAATACACATTAAAAATTTCAGAAATAAAAATTGCTCTCTTCAATGAGTTGCAAAACCAATTTCAGTAACCAAAATTTTAAAATTTAAAAGTTTGTTAATCAGATACACTCTTGGCAAGAAATTACCTTAACTTAACACTGGGTATGCCACATACTGTATTATGTAAATATAGCACAGTTTTTCCACTGTTAACAGTATGTAACCTGCAATCTGATCTATTGGAATGGGTGATTACATGTCTGTTAGCTTACTTCATCACAGTAAACATGGGGGATGGTGCATTGTTCCAAAGCGCATTCTGAAGTGCTGCGGCAAGTAATTTGGCTTGGGATGTGGTTATGCTGTGTACACAGTGCATTAAAAAAAATTAATGACTTTAAGTCACCAGAGATATTCATAATTTTCATTTCCACGAAACTTCCATTATAAATTACCAGTGTGTTACTGTAGTTTGTTAGTGATTTCTGTTTTTTAATCAGTTAGTATTATTACTTATTATCTTTTTTATTACTAAATGTTTAATGCCACTTTTTCCTATAGTACATCAATTATTCATGCTGCAAAAAAATTTTTGGGGCTCTTTAATTCATATTAGGTAAAAGAAAGATCAGGAAACCCACTGTAACTTCTATTCAAAGATAAGCACATTTCTAGTTTTCCTGCATAATTGTGAAGTTACAAATAAAAATGGAATTCCCGTCCAGCTAATTTCCCACAAGACTTGAAGCATTTTGGAGAGGTAAAGATTATGTCAGTATATATCAAGATATTTCTGTACTGGTTCTATTTTTTCCACTGGTGAAAATTTTTTCAAACAATTTCCATTTTGATTCTGGTTGTCCCAGTACACCAAGGTAAAGACGACAAACTTTAAATGTCATAAAAGAAGGAGAAATTTGTCCCATACCATATCCACAGCTAATTATCAATAAACTGAACTGGGTTTTGTCAAAGTTAATAATCTCAATTAAAAAAAAAGAAGGGGGAGGGGGTGTGGCAATAAATCATAAACCAAAACTATTACATTTCTACAATATTCTAACATTTCATATATAAAATGAATAAAATGTGCTGAAGTTTTAAACTTACTTTCTGTTCAGAGACAGCTTTATTTCTCCATCCTTGTGCAAAGGGGAATCATCTGAAAGGCAATGAACAAATTCAAACTGCCTTGAACTAACTCACATGCAGTACTAATAACCTCAATATGAATATATAGTTTTAATAGCTTCTTTGTATCAGTAGCGATTCCATGTTTCTACAGGACTAAATTGAAGATTATTTTCTAAAAGATTAATTTGCAATTCTAAGTTCACTTGTGCCATTTTCCACTGTGGTAAATTGTCCCAACATAAAGTATAATTTAAATTGAAATTTTTTATAACAATGATAAGAGTATGTAACATGAGACAACTATCAGCAAATGATATTATCATGTGATTGGACTTAATTTTGCTCTCCACATCATTTTTTCTTTATGATAAATTTTTAATCAATGTTGTTCATGACGGTGAATATATGAAAATAACATTTTTGAACTGTTGATAAAGACACGAATATGAATGCAATCTTCGCAGTAATGAACGCTACTTGAGCAATAGTGAAAATAAGGCCTGAAAAAAATTCAGGCCTGCACGGGATGTTGTTCATGTATGTAAAAGGAATAAGGATATATTACCTTGCTCCTTGTTTATCTGGTCACTACCATCTTCTTTTACAGGTATAAAGTTGTCCTTGAACAACTTTGAAGCCTCTTCTTTCTTGACAGAATTTGGAACTTCAACAATAGAGCTTTCTCTCTGAGACTGAAAGAAATCTTCCACTCGCTTGTAAGTCTTCTCTGGATTTGGCCCCTGATCAATGTCAGCTTTGACTTGTTGGACTTTTCCCTTCACCATGACCTTTCCTGCACCAACCTTGGTGTCTGCTGCTGCTGCCTCTTCTGTAAAAGCCGCTTTTTCTGTCTGTAACTGGTTCCCTTGGAGATGGGAATTGTCTGCCACTATTGAATCCATCCCAGTTGCGAGGGGTACATGTGATACCTTCTTTTCACCAATATAAGAATTTGCATCCTCTGATTTCTCCTCAGACCTCACTCCACTGTTTCCCTCTGAGTTGAAAACAGAGCTTTTCTTGGATGACCTTCCTACATTGGGTTTGGCATTTCCTTGGGAGGAATCTTTAATATCATGTCTACTTCCTACAGTGTCACTACTGGAATCTTGTCTATGTCGTATAAGTCTCCTTGCTTTGAAATTATCATAACTGTCATAATCAGCAGTCTTTTGATGTCTCTTATCTGATCTAAAGTTTCCCCCATTTTTGCTGTTGATCTTGTCCCAATTCACAGGGACCTCTGGTGGTAAAGGCCCATGGTCTTCATGAAAAATTCTACTATTGTGGTGATCATCATTGTTTGCTAAAGGTACATTAAGTCTCAAATTTCTCTCCCCTTTTTCAAGTTTGTACTCATATTCATCCATCCATTCCGAGTCATCCTCCTGACCTGCTGCAACCTCTCTTCTGTCATCGAAGCTTTGTGGATAATCATTAAAATTATGGACTCTTTCTTGTGACTGTTGTCTGTGGTAGGATGGGTAATCTGAAAAACAGTACAAAATTTTTGTATGAAATATTTTCCTGATTAAGTAAGAACAAGAGAGATGGATAAGTAATTTGAAATCAATGTCAGTAACTAAGCAACTGCACACCTTCCCCTCCCCTAAACCAAAAACAGTCAACTGATAACAATTTAGGGTTAATGTTGGGTTAGGGGAGGGGTAAGTATGCAGTTGCTCAGCTGCTGACATTGATCCACAATTTGTCCATGCAATATCAATACAATGTTACAATTGTAAGCAGAAAATAACAATTACAGGGCATTTGTGATTCTTAGAGCCACAATTACAAGAATCACGTGACCCTCCATGAGAAAACGGACACTAATGCTTTTCTGTTAAATGGTAGAAAAAAGGTTTTAAAAGGATACTAAACGGCTAACTCAAGCGTTTAAACGGTTTCCATAACCGCTTAAACAGATGGCAAAAAATTTAAATGGTAGACCAAAGTCCAAAAACAGATAGCTTAGGCCTTCAAACAGTTGACAAAAAATAAAAACGGATAGCTCGAAATGTTAAACAATTCACCAAAGTCCAAAAACGGGTAGCTTAAACTGAAAAACGTATGGTTGACCAAAATCGACAAACGGAGAGCTACAATGGATAATTATCTTGAAGAGAAAACATTGAGTATAATAATTTGAAAAATAATAGCTAGGATACACTTGCGCATTTTATTTCTGAGTAAACTATTGCCGTTTTCATGTGACATTCATGAAATAAGCGCAATTTACCAAGAATGGTTTCACTGCCAAATACCCTGAATGGCTATTGCAAGAAACTCACAACATCCTCCTTTGTTTATTCTAATTGTTATTGAAAATGAACTTCATGATTTTTTGTTTTGAAGTTTCAGGAAATAAATCTGCAGACGCAATGCTGCGACCTTGTCGAAGCCGAGACGCTTCAGGGTCAAATAATACAATGTAGTCCATTGCTAATTAAAGGTTGAATTGGTGTCATGCACCAAGTGGGGCCATTGAAGATGAATCAAGATGATATAAACAGATAGAGAGTGGCAGATTTAGCAAAACCATGACAAGGGAACCAAGACAGGGTTATCTTGATTTTACCAAATCTGTAAACAAGATCAGGCGCACTGTTTGAACAAGATCGATGGCAGGATTGTGGTCAAATGAACGGCTTCATTGGCTGTCAATGCTCTATGTTTGAACAAATGGATACTTTAACTTAACTCATTTGTCTAAGGATGCGACGATTACTCGCTTTCTATGATCACAGAAAAGATAAAACTAAAATAAGATACGGTCATTCTGCATTTCAAGGACTGGCAAGTATCGAGCAAACGTAAGATTGATACTTCAAACTGCCCGTAACAGAATGATAAAAAACAAATAGTAAAAAGTTTTCCTTGGAACGTTAAACGAAAAGAATTTTTTTTTAAACTGATTAAATTAAACGGATGCAAAATTTTTTAAATGGATGAGCAAACCACTTAAACGTTTTACTAAAAGCGTTAAACAGATGCAAATTTTTTTAAACAGATGAGCAAACCACTTAAATGTTTTACCAAAAGTGTTAAACGGATGCAAATTTTTTTAAACGGATGAACAAACCATTTAAAGAGATTTAAACGGATAGTAAATGGTTTCGCTTTTCAGTGTCCGTTTTCCCATGGAGGGTCACATATGGTAGAATGTGTGGAGAATTGATACCATGGCCCTAAAGGGTAAAGAGCTAAAAACTTAGTCAATTCATTGACCAAGATGGACTAAGGTCACATCTTTAGATGAAGAAGCATTCACATAATTCCTGAAAATTAGCTGGTTATTACAACTGTAAACAAACTGCACTGTTCAACTGCAGGTTTATATCCATTCTCTAATTATGGTTTTAGGGATGCTCTTTCCTCTGAACCCTTTTCACTCCTAAAATCTTATTTATTTAGTATTTCTCCTTACTATTTATCATACAATTCCTAAGATGTTAGCAGGGTAATTTATTATTATCAACTGTGTTGATGACGTAAATTGGCCACCGTAAAGGGTTAAGTTGTTTGTTAATCCCTCTGATGAAGGGCTAATACTTGAAATGAAAGTTTTGAAACTCTTTACGGTGGCCAATTTACGTTATCAACTCAAATGATAACACTAAATTACCCTGTTATACTCGTCAACTGACACAGCACCACAGTTTCTTTAGAAACTTACCCCTTTATCCTAAGATGTCAGTTTGGAGAATTTGGTATCAGATCAATTAATAATCCCATAATTGATATATTTTTGAATCTGCATAACTTGTTTGCTTGATATTGTATTGATATCGTGAGGAGAAATTCTGTCTTAGTTATTCAACAGAGATGTGTGATTGAAATTTTTTAAATCACAGGGTTCTTGATAAGTTTTTTTAACAGGAAGTAAAAAGAAAAATTAATAATTAACTTAATTTGTTACCTCCTCCCCCCCCCCTAAAAAAAAAACCCAATTCAACCATAAAGTTTATTAGTGAGTGATGGCAGTTTGGATTTTTGGGCTTTTACTTTTTCAGTTTGAAAAGATTACATGGAGTAGTATTTTACAGTTGGTAAAAGACATGCAAAGTTTTTAATTCAATGCTATGGGTTTTCACATTGAAACAAGCCAAAATTTAGATAATTATTTTGGTCAACATTTCTGTGAAATAGCCAATCACATTTATTTGAAAATCCAGTAAAAGTAACCAGATGTTAACAAAAACCCTGAATTTGAGACTCAGGTTTGATAGGATAGAAATAAGTTATTTTATTTTGTGACAAACATGTAATTAGGGAAAAAGTCTGAGTTCCTCATTTCCTCATGGGAACTGTAAATTTTCTCTTTGACCCCACCTTGGCAACAATATGAAATAACATCTATTTCATGGTTTTAGCTGTTCAAGTATAAATAACATTCTTTCTGACATGTGAATTTAGTCATGGATTTTATGTTATTGTAAATATGAATGAGAAAACAGCTTAATTAACACTTCATCACAAATGTCAGCCGAGTACACTTAAGAAAAATGTAAAACATTTTGATTGCTTCTTATCCAAACATCTCCTCTCAACTGATAAATTTAAAACTAAGGTGTTATCATTTGCACCCTTGACCACACCCATCAGACACACAGTAGATACACAGCTTTTGCTAGAAAGGATGTCATAACAAAGGACAAAAGTGCATGTGACAATCTCAAATGGTAATCTGGGTATCTGGTAATGAATGAATTTTAATGAGTATATCAATTTAATTAATTCAACAAACCCACTATGCCTCATTCTTACAGCAATATCAACTCAGATTTTCCAAAAAAATCCTGAGGTCTAGGAAACATGACCTGAAAACTACCCACATTACCTTTAGAGGTTTTCATGTGCACTTTAACACTTGTCCCGAGACAATTTTTCTCAAATCAGCTGCATAATAAATATCTTGCTACCCTCAATTTCTTGATTTGTACTGTGAGTTAAGAATCCTTGATTTTCCCCCTTCAATTTCCTGCTTGATCAATTGTTTTAAGCCGTAAATCAAAGGGAAAAGACTTCATCCAAACCCCCAGAGCAAAATTTGTAAACTGTTGTATAGCCCAGGGCTAGATAAACTTCACATTGGGCTATCATCTTTTTTTTTTTTTTTAAATTGCAAGTTGCGCATTCAAATTCTTCTTAATTTTTAGTACTACCCATTTTATTACAAATTTACCAACAACTAAACTTATACCCAGACACTTAATTACAATTCATGACAAACTTTATATTGAGTTAGCTCCTCAGAGCTCTGGGCCAGTGAACCTAAGTAATAGTTTGCTAAAGGGCACGCTGATTTTTTCATAGTTAAAATGTTTGTGTACTGCCCATCACAACTGCCTTTTTCTATTCAATAAATTAAATAAAACATTACCTGGGTCAAAAATTATTTCCCTTTGACATCGAAAGGCTGTGGAGGGAAAAAAAGTCAAATGAAAATTAAATCAGACAGATGGCATATCAAACACTGCTACCATAGCTGACAGTATCAGGGCTAAAACAGAATATATAAAAAATTACACAGCAAAGGTTGGAGTGTAGAAGGTAGTAAATATTGCTGCTAATGAACAAGAAAAATTGCCAAACATGCCTTGAAAATGTTGCTAGCAGCTTTGCTTATTTATATGCAGAAGGAGAGGTATTAAAAATAGGGTTTACACTGGCATAAAGTTTTCCACACCAATGAACACATAAACAATTCCATTGGCAAAATGTTTATGGCTTCAAAATAAACTAAACTACTCTGAATATTCCATGCTATCTCCAAACATAAAAGCAAACCAATGAAAAGATAAGATTTTATAATTTCAAGGTAAGTAAGCTATAAAAATGTTTCACAACTTTCTTCATAACAAATTTCCACTCTACTAGTCATGCAAAAAAATGTTGTTTGCTAGAAGCGTCCTAACTAATCCCTACAATATCTGTAGCATTCTTGTGGGCAAAAAAAAACGTTCATGCTCATTTTAATCCTTAAGGGAGGATTAAGGACCTTAAAAAACATACCAAATCTCTTATTTTTGAGAAAAAAATATAAGCAGCCCTCCCTCCCAAATTTCAATTCTACCCACGATAGATTGTTTTGCCCACTCCCGAAAAAGGCCCCGGTCGATTCCTTTTCTTGAAAAGGAAAAACCACAAAAAGCAGACTGTAACTCCCTAGACTTCAATAATAGCCGGCTAAAAACACTGGTTCTAACATAAGTTTTTGTAGTGTAACGCGCGTTTGTTTTTCAATCTTCAAAGACAAAATCATCACTCCCGATAACTGAGAGAGGCAGCTCACATCAGTTACTTGCTTTCCTTCCTGTTCCGAGTGAGAGTTAACACATAACTATACTCGTGATAGTAACTGTGGATTTGTAAGCCACTGATGATCAATGACGCATAGAAAGTGAAAACATCAGTGAAGTGAAAAAAATTAATGAAGTGAAAAACTTATATTACGCCGAAATTCAGAAACAGAGACGTGTTATTAAGAGCATCACTTTCCATTTTAAAGACTTATGTCCAAATGATGAAACTGTGAAAACAGATTGTGAACCGCTAATTTCAGGATAACAAAAGCACCTTCAAAATATGCGAAGGCACAAACATTTCGAATTGATTATCTTTCTGTGATATTCGAAGCATGGATGAAATGCCCTTAATATAAAGTACGACTTCATGATGTGTCTAGATGCCTCCTCAATATCTCTTCCTGACTCACTAACAAGAGGAATATAGCTAGTCTAAGCATAGTGGTCGAGATAAATAAGGGTGACCACATCTGTGACGTAAAAAATACGCAACTAATCAAGAGGAGCTTTATTGTGTCAGGGACGACAGAAGTACGAAATGATCGATAAGTTCTCGAAAGGTTCATGGATATTTCATCGAAAACGAGGAAGAAGGGACTGATATTGCCAACTTAACTAATTAAATACAAAGATCTATTCGATTAATCAGCCTACATGCAAATCGTTCCTTCGAAGAGAAGAACCATTTATTCGAATCTTATCGTAGTATTTGATTCTGTGTTAAACCGGTCTTATTTTCTTTTTAAGTGTACACTCTTTCAACAAAAGGGAAAATAAAACATTGTCAAATAAAGAAAAAGTGGGAAAATATTCAGGTTATTTTTCAACATTCTGAACGAAATCCGGTCAAAGCTAAAGTAATTATGTAAAAATATGCCACATTTCCTTATTCGAGAGCGCTTTACCGTATCTTCGTGTTCTTCACAACTAAAATAATTCGCGTACAAAACCACTTGTCAATAATTTTTTGACATTAAAATTGGCATAAAAAAAACATTTCAGGCGAAGATTTCATGTTGTTTTCCAAAACAAAAAGACAACGAAAAAATCATCCGTTTAGTAGGCGGGAAGCGCATTCAAAGTGAAGACGACTTGAGTAAATTTATGTATAAATCAAACCTTTTTATCTTTCACGGGTGCTCGTGGATGTACCTTAGAAAAACATGTACAATTACGCCGAATTCGTTTTCTTGACAATCTAGATTTATGGTGAGACATTAAACATCCCCAACAGTAATTCAAAAGAGGTTTTAACTTTTAGGAAACTCAACCGGTGACCAAAACAGAACCAAACAGATGGATCAAAGACCGACAGATCAACAAATTCAAAATCTAAGTAAAATTACCCCCAAAATACAGTATTAAATATCCCTTCCTAACTTACCATGGTTGCAGTATTCGCCAACATCACAGTCTGCCCCAGAAAAACAGCCTAAAAAACACAGAGAATTAATATGAGTCGATTTCTCACGCTTTGAAGAGCGTTCTCGAATGAGTGATCGATCACACCGATCAGAGCACCTGATCAAAAGTTCAAGCTTACCAACAGCCAGCGATTCCCTGAACTGTCCGACTACAACACAGAACAGGAGAAGGGTGTACTTCAGGTTGTTCGAATCCATGGATTTGCCATGGATTTTGATTGAGAGGGAAATGAAAAAAAGGTAGCGAGTACTACCGTGTAACCAACTGTAAGAGACGCTTCGCCATATCACAACCAACAACAGAGCTCAAAGCTAGGTTGGATTCCCGGATGTTTATTTGCTTTCGGAAGTTGTCGATCATCCATTGTTCTAATAACCAATTAGAACGCAGCAAATATTGCTTGCTGTGAGCTATCGGCGATCGTTTGCCGTACCATCTGTACATATTCTGGCATACTGACGCAAATAAATTTTACAGTAAACTGGCAGATTGTCTCAACGCCCACACATCCATATCTGATATTCATCTGCGATTTATATTCTTCCAGGCAATAGAGCACAAGCTTTACGATTTTCCATAGGGGAATTAAAAAAATCGCCTAGAAATTTTTTAGAATGTTCAAACTTCGTTTTTAAAAAAAACTCACTTGAGCTTTTATAAGAAAAGGGAAAAAAACTTTGTTTTCAAATAAATATCGTATTAGCTTAGGGAAAAAAAACGGAGGGATATTATAAATGAAGATTTCTCTTTTATACAACCTCAGAAGCCCTGGGCTCCTGGCCACCTTAACGAAAGACGAGGTTTTTGTCTCGTACAAAGCTCTTTACAGTCCCTGATAAGTGTAATGTTTGTGCTGACGGTGACGAAAAAGGAAATATAAATCAACTAATCTAGAGAAAAATTGTTTCACGCTTCACGATATCCACGTGTGCAAAATATTTTATCTTTGGTATTTGACGTTTTTCAGTTCCCTACAACCGTAAACAATACTTCATTTCATGATACATCAACCTGGTATTTGAACGTTTTTTTAAGAGTCTTTCTCACGAACCAATTTCCTCTCACAAACCAGTAAATCTAGAGCTATCCATTGAATTTGTTCCCATATAGTCAGTACAGGTGCTAATTTTTAACTCATGTTTTTGGCCCACGCAATAGCACCAAGAGGCAGATTATTCACTCGTTCCGTAACAACAGTGCCTTTCTTAATTTTGATGAAAAAAATGAGGCGTGTGTCAGTAGCATGAGCTCCTGATGCATATACAATTTATTTCTCTTTCTCTCTTTAGAAAAAAAGTTTAGAATGAGTGTTAATTTAGACGAAAGAGCTAAAAATTCTAATTACGAATTTAATGTTATAACTGTAGTTCCCTTAGTATTTCGAAAAAGCAACATCACAACAATGCAAACACAAATCAGCTTAGCTTATGAATTCTAATTAAGCAATTCTTCTAGTTTTCATTTTTTATCTGATCTTATCGGTATTATGTCTCCCGAATAAACAATGGGATGTTTTCAATGACCTAGTTTTGATCATCTGGAAAATCTCATCACGACTTGACAGGGGTGGGATGGGTAGGTCGCTTTCTCGAAGCCTTTTCATCCTGATCCTGTTAAGGACAAAATCTGTTCATTCCTCTACCCTGTTACAGACAAAAAAAAAATCGTTTTAGACTGAGGGGTTTTGACCTCATCAAGTTACATCTAGCTTTCATAGAACAAAACAACTGCAATTATATTTTACACACACAATCCTAATTTCTCACATGTAAAACCCTTTCATTCCCATTCATCCAGCTCAGTCTCTGTGAAAGAGATCCAGCTAAGTGAGATGGTAGACGTTGATTTTGACTAAAGACCCCACAGATGACATTTAATTTGGCGGTGCATATCATTTTAGGCTGAATAAGATAAGTGCCCCTCCAGGCTATGTGACATCTTTGAAATGATGACGGAAGATGACAGACTGGCCTTTTCTAGGCGTTTAGCTAGTAAAACGGAGCAAAATAGTGTCCGGCATCGTAAGTATCGCCTGAGTGAAAAATCGAGGGAGGCTTGGGTCGGGTCGGGTGAAAAGGTTACCCGATCCATGCCTCCCTCGTTTTTCACTCCTTCGTTATTGTCGCGCTATATTTGCTATCGCACTTTTTTGCTCACTGACTTCTAGAACAGGCTGTTGGCGGGCTAACAGATTAGTATTTTTTCCTCTTAATTTTTCCCATCAAACAAATTTATGGATTGATTCAACCAATTTTAGGGGGGATTATTTCAGTGCAGTGCAGTTCTCATTTTCCAAATAGATACATTTCTCGGCGAGCTCAGAGGGGGTAAGAACTGGTGGTTAAAAATTAGATTAAGAAACCCGCTAAGACCCGAAGTGGACTTAGGAGAAGCTTAAATGAGTGTTCCGCAGAGACCCTCAAGCTCTAACCCTGTTCAGTAGATATCTGTTCATTTTGTTATCTTTATTGACACGAGTTTTTTTTTTTTTTTGCTTTTTTTTTTCACTTTTGGTATGTGGGAAACCCTATAACTAAGCAGTTTATTATCTCTTGGGACATATAGTCCACATTAAGTCGCGGTCAGACAGAATTTTCAGTCTAAGATGTAATGCAAATTGCCAGTAACACACGTCAGTGACTCAGAAATGACTGGGTTAGGGCATGGCAAATGTTTCTTTCCGCGATAGCTTGTTCCAGGCATTCGGTTAGTAAAACGGAGAAAAACAGTCAACCATGCAATAGTAGCGGTAGAGTGAAAAAAGGGAGCGCGGCTTGGGACGTGTCGCGCAAAAGACGCTTTCATTACGCAACCCGTCCCGAGCCTCGTTAGTGTTTTCGCTCCCCTAGGAACAGGCTATTTTCTCGAAAGAGTGTTGTCATGTTGACGCGAATTGTAACCTGAGAGAGATTTTCTTTAAGTTGGTTCTTTTTGTGGAGGATTAGGGAGGTCTTTTTCACCTCAAGGGACTGTCTAAGTTGAAGGAAATGTAGAAGCATGATAAAAACGCGCTTTAGTTTGCACTCCGAAGTTTCCGTGAATCACCGAAGTAAGAACGGACCATTAGAGAAGCTATTTACGGCGACGGGGAAGGGAAAGGGGTTAAAGAGAAGATGATATTTAACATAATAAAATTTGGGAATCCCAACGCAAGAAAATGATATTCTTACTTTTCTCATACACTTCCTAATCGCACTGATTCTAGAAGAATGTGGGGTTGTAAAGCCGCTGTTGTGGTGTTGTGTGAAAAAAAAAAAGAGACGCCAACCAGCAAAATTTTAACTTCAACAACCATCAACATCAAATCCACTTGCTTCTCAATGGCTTCCGTTGTCCTCCTCCAGCCGCGTGACCCGTCACGCAACGCACTTTCTCCTCAACAGAGGGAGTGCGTTGTGTGACAGGCTTTAGCAACAGCTGCAAAGGAAAGTAGCTTGAAATGTTTGGAAAATTAAATGGAGTAAAGAACTGCCGCCTTTTTCAAAACAATCAGTGTAAAAATTTGTTCCATGGCTTGAGGAAAGAATACTTTTAGACAACATATGGCATGTAAATTGGTCAAGGGAATTGAGATATAGTTTACTAAAGAATCATTCTAATTACAAAGACAATTTAGCTTGTATTTGTCTCCACGACGATTGGATCATAGATATTTTGGAAAATTTGGGTCCTCCTGTATGTAAATCATTGTCATTCTTCAACCAGAAAGTACTCTCTTCTAAAAATGCAGCAAATATTTATGTAAGAAGATACACACACATGGATATTTGCCAAATACCAAGAGGAAATCCACTTTCTCTTATCAGGTTAACATTGATCTTAGGAAAAAACGAAAAAAAAAGTGAACAAAGAACAAAAGCAATGCTAAGTGAGACTATGTATGTTTTTGACATGGCGCAAAATCAACTGGAATCCGATAACTTTCTTTTCCTTAAAATCAAATGTATCATAAATCAATGCAGACATTAAAAGAATTGTGAGGATGTAAATTCACATTCCCTGACAATTTAACATTTAAGAAATGTGTATGCAACTTTTTAGACTCCAACCATGTCTTGCTACAAAGCAAATGATGGAATGATGGATCAATACTTGAGCCAGGCATGTCTTTTTAATCAATTGGCCTTGTGTTGCCAATATGTCAACAACTTTCAAGATTATGGTGGTGCAAAGCATGAAAAAGTTTCATTGCGACTGATATGCTTAAGGGGGTCAACATCAAAGCAGACACGAGCATCAGATATGTAAGGTGATTGTTCGATATACACTGACCCTTAAAAACATTCATTTTGACATCAAACCCAAAACCGCACAGTCTTGATGATCAGCCAGCTTTTGACAGACCTGAAATATTTTATCTATTGCACCCAATTGTTACAATACTAATTCTAATGGAAAACCAGGATGACATTTTGTCCTAAATGGAAATGAAACAGACTGTCCCTATGGTGAAAAGAAGGTGAGTGTTGCTACCTAACATTTCATTCCTGACACAACCTCCATTTTGAAAAATACAAACAAACAAACAAACAAACAAAAAAAGAAAAGGAAAAGAAACGATTTGATACAGTAAGGCAAAAATCAAAAAGGGAAAATACCCTGTAAAATTGAATGATTGTGAATGTTTGCTTACATCAGTTTATCATTGCTTTCTAAACAAAAGATTAAAATTTGACCTCAGTTAATGACATGCAACTTTTAAAACTAATCATATTCCTTAAACTGTCTTGGGTTGACTTAGCATTGGCAATTCCCCTACACAAGATAAATAAGTGCACAAGATTTTTTACTGAGAGCGAACAATCACTTCATTGATGTTTCACAAGATATCAGCTACACATAAAATTGTCCTTCATTTAAGTTACAATGCGTAGTGTTTGTGCTTGTAAAATCAAGTTTCTTCATCTATAGCTAAGGCTTGATTACCAACCGCTGTTTCGGATTATGAGCCTGCGCTCCTTCCTCTGAACCCACAAAGAAGAAGCAAAGACTGGACGCAAGAGAGCAGCAGAAATCAAGCCTATCTATAGCTAGAATAAGAAAACAGAGGTATGGGAAACAAGAAACATCAATAACTTGTGTATTTTATTGGATCTTCATCATGCTCAAAGTTTGTGACACATTATGAAATGAATTTTGAGGAAAAATTACACTATTCTTACCTAGGCATTCAGTGATGTTAAGGAATTACAGAATTATGTGTCAGGGCATATCTCAAGTTCATACCTATCTCTGTCATGGATCATACCTAAACTTCACTTGGATCACAATAAGACTAAATTTTAAGAAAAATATT